ATCAAAAATGTAACTGAATTAAGGCACAGGGTGACAGGGCCACGACTTAGCAGCAAAGCAAGCAGCTATGGGAGATTTACTGCCAGAGGTCCAAGTTATGGTGCTACCGCTTCTCTGGCCACCCAAGTACTTGGAGACAGCTAATGCCAGCCAAATCAGGAGGAGCAAGAGAAAGAAATGGATGGCACATTTTGTCAGGTGGAAGCAAATGGGACATTTGGTGATTCGAAAAGTACATAGCAAAAACAATTTGGGCAAGATAGCTATGGCACCGCTGCCAGGCCTCTATTTTATGTATCCAAACTTTGGAAACTGTGTGCCTCAGTGGCCAGTAAATGTGTGAGTCTTACTTTTGTGTGTGTGAAGGGTTTCTAGGGTGTTCAGGGTCTCACTACTAGATCAGACTCATAGTGATCTGCCTGTTCAGACCTCCCAAGAGCTGGGATTACGCATGCACCACCACACCCAGTCTCAATTGTCATCTCAGCGCTCCCTGGGGATGGGTTCAGCACGGCAGCCCTGGGGATTGAACTCTGGCCCCTGTGCCTATTTGCAGGCTCTTCAGTCTGCTGAGCTATTTGCTCAGCCTGACTCTTGCTAATAGTAACCCAGATTCTCACCTGCAGTGGGAGCCAGGCATCTGTCAACATGGAACTCTCCCTTTTGAGGACATTGAAGTAGATTTCTCTGAAATCAAGCCTATGATCAGAAACATAAATTATTCATTGACGCTTGTGTGCCCTTACTCAGCATGGGTGGAGGCCATGCTAACAAATTCTGAGACCACTATAGAGGTGGTGAAAGCATTGGTGGGGCTAATCATTCTCCAGTATGTGCTCCCCATGACGTTGTAGGTAGCATGCCATTGACTCATCATTCAGGAGTGAAACAGTGGGTAGCAGAGGCCCCAGCAGCTCTGCTACCTCTGGGACCTTGTACACCTTGGCTCTAAACAGCTCAAGCAAGAGACAGTTTCAGTCTAACCATTGCAGTGAACCCGCTGCTCCAAGGGATGTTGGTCCTCTCAGCAGCTCCCATAGGATGGGTGGTGATGGCTCCCGTCCTGGGGGAGTAAGGGGAACACTTGTGTAACTACACCCTCAAACACCCATGACTGGACTCTACTGTACTCAGACAGGCTCTTCTTGCTTCTTTGCATTTTCCCTGTGCTCAACAGACTGTGGTGTTTGTTGTGCCAATATGTAAAACATGGGATCCCCATTTTTGGAAGGGTAAGGTTCACCCAGGAAAAGATTATTTCCCTGCCTGCAAGGTCCAAAAATGAGCAATCGGTTGGTACTCCCCTGCATAGGAAATTGAAAACCTTGATATGATCCTAGTTCAGTCTGGACTGCAGATGTGCCCAAATGTACTGGGGGGAAATTGTGACAAAGAAGAGAGGCACTTTTCCCACATTGGTATTATGGGAAGATCAGGCTTGGAGAAGGAACCTCTGATGGAGATGCCCACAGGAGCTGGCAGCGCTGGGTAGAAAGTGATGGATACATCCAGGTGCATATGGAAAGATGCACCTGGTGCTGCACTGGGAATTCAGTTGGTCTTTGCTTGCAGGTTGGAATTGTTTTTATTTTTTCATTTTTAGGCACATGTCTACAGGGTGTTCAGGGTCTCAATACTAGATCGGACTCATAGTGATGAACCTGTTTAGAGCCTCCCAAGATTTGGGATTACAGGGTGAGCCACCAATCCCATTCTCAATTGCCGTCTCAGTATGCCCCGGGGTGGTGCTGAACCCCTGGCCCTTGCACCTGCTTGCAGGTGCTTTAATCCTCTGAGCTATTTGGCTGGACCTTCTTTTTTTTTTTTTTTTTTTTTTTGGCGGAACCAGAGATTGAACTCAAGCCCTTGAGCTTGCCAGGCATTGACCCTTCTTTTTAAAAGTTGTTGATGATCCACTTTGGTCTACAGGACTCACTTGGGGAGTGTATACGTGCCTCAACAGAGTCTCAGGATATGACCCAGGAATAAGTGTTAAGATCACCGATTAGAAACAATCCCATGGAAACTAAACTAATGGCCCCTTTTCCAGCCCTATCTTGGGAATTGCATCATGTTTAGGGTTTGAGTTCCCCCTAATTATTTGTCATATGGGTCAATAGTGCTGCCCCTTGGCCTCAGGGCCTAAGGAGGTTTAACCTACTCCTCCAAAAGCTGGCTCTGTAGGTGTAAATGAGTTGGGGGCTAAGGCAGAGATCTATCAAATACTCAGCAAAACTTACCATTTGTCAAACTTGTCCAACCCTAAATCAGTTGAGACCTGTGCAATGTGAATTTGGTCCAGTGTGCCATTCTGTGAGGTTCTGACTTCCTCAAATCCTGTAATACCCACCAGCTTCTGTGCTCATCAGAAGAGGAGGAACCATCGCCTCCCTCCAGAATAGAAACAATACATGAAAAGGGAGTTTGTATAGGCCAAGGGAAAAATCACGTCACTTGCAGACAACTTGCTCTGCAGAAATCTCCCCTACTGGGGACCCTGAGGAATATGGCTTTTCTGTACAAATAGGTGAATTAAGGTTTAGAGAATAGCCTGAGTTTAACTGGGATGGGCTCCTGCCTGCTGACTATGTTGATCCACTGTGTGAAAGTAAGACGAGGAGAACTAAAGAATCAAGATTTGCTCTCTGAGGCTTTCATATGTGATAACATAACTGAGGTGAAAGAATGACTCCTATTTTTGTGCTAATTTTGGCTAGGCTGGGTATAGCTGGGGGTTTGACACCCAGGACAGGAGCCATAGCACACTCAGAAACTGCCTTCAAAGGCTTTATCCAATAACCAGTGGCATAGGAGAAAATGTAGCCGGAGTCTGGACTGAGATAAAAGAAACAACTGCTTAGCAGAGATTGTGGTACCAAATAGAAGGGGGCATAAAGTACTACTCATGAAACAAGGAGGTTCTGGACAGGCCTAGGAGAAGAATGATGTTTTTATGGTAATAGCTTCACAGTTATTATGGAAATCCTAGACAAACTAGATAATGACGTGGAAGAAAAAAAAGTTATATAATGACTATCACAGCCACAGATGGTGTGATTCCTTGTTTGATTTGATAAAAAGACTTACCTGACTCATTGTGGGATTCACAGGACCTAAGATCACCAGCTTGTGCTATTCATGGCAGGACCCTGTTTAGCTAACTGGATAAAAGGCCGCATACAGAATCATGGTGAAGAAGCCAATATGATGATGCTAAGGGAAGACACTACATACCAGGTAGAAACTACCTTATGATAGACTATATTTCTTAGAAAAAAATATACCATAGAGGAGGGAATGTAGGACATGGTGGCACTCAATAGGTTAATTTTGTCCTGGATGGAGTAGCTTCAGACCTAACTTAAGAGAAAGAGGCAGAGTCAACCCTACATGACCCCGCATGGAGTGTTTCACTCCTTTCCATTCTTGTTGAGATATAGCAAAACATAGAAAGATAAGAAAGAAAGTCATGAAAACAGAATTAATTTCAAAAAAGTTTTTTAAACCTGTGTCACCATAAATTCTCATGGTCTGCCCAAAACCTACCATGTTCACAGTAGGTAACTACCAGGTCAAAATTGGCCTCCTTCCTTCAAGGTTGCCACTAGATACAAAAAGGGTATTTAGGCTGAGGTAAAACAAAAATGGGGCTGGACACTTTCTGTTTTGTTAAATTGGTAAGCGGTCTGGGTGACTAGCTGAAATTGGATTAAAGCTTTGTTGTTTTCCCACATTTGTCTCCTTAAAATTGTCTCTCACCATTTCATCTCTCTTATCTCCTTCATATTATGGTATCCTAGTAATCTTACACAATTTTTGAACTGGATTGCAAAAATTTATTTTAGTAATGTTTTATATATAATAAAATGCAAAAATAATTTAAGGAAAATATAGGGTGGGATCAAACTGATTAAGTGGAAAAATTAAAACAACTTGATGGTCACAATTATTTCTGACTTGCAGTTAACACTTTAAGGTCAGTTGATTTGTATCGGGTATGAAATGCCAATAGCAAGATTTTAATTACATCTATCTGAATTATATGTAAAATTTTTAGGTACCTATGGTTTGCATATATCTCTATTACTATAACTTATTCTAAATTATACATTTATAAATTATTTTTCTAAGTTGTCATGATTGCCAATCTGATACCTAGGAGGATCTCTTTGCTGTATAACTTCTATTCTTTTACATTCATACTCCGATTATCTTTTTGTTTGTGGAAGTCATAAATATTACTGTGTGGCCTACAGACCCTTGAAAAATTATTTGTAAGATTTCTTGGGGAATTAGGAGTGTGTTCCCTCAAGGAGGTTTTAACTTAGATCCTAAACGTTAGGAATGTTATTTTACATTAATTTTATGATCCTTGCTTTCTATGTTTTCTAAATCAGGTGTTTTCAGAGCAAGCTTTGGCAGTGGCATTAAAGTTCCTTGCAGTTCTGGAAAGAGGAGTTGTCTGTTTGTCTTTGATTTACTCCTATACAAAATCATGCTGGTTCCAAAATTAAATTACAGGCTCCCAGAATTCCTCTTAGGGTAGGTACTCAGCCTTTCATCTGGCCTTGTGGCCCATGCCCCTGGGAGAAAGGAGCTCAACCATTGGCTATGCTCAGTTTCAGGATAAAAGCAGCTTTGGAAAAGCCACATGTTGATAACTATAGCTGGGTTATTATGCCTGTGATGAACAATCCATTTGATTCCTTTTGTTTGAAATTAATATCCTTACTAAGACCATCTAGTGTTAGTAATTTTAGAGCTTCTAAAATGATCCTAGAGTTTCCGTATTAGCATCTGTGGTTTTGTTGTCACTCAAGTACACTTTCTATTTGGTATATTTAGCTTTTGATTTGATCAGTTACTTTCAGAACTCATGAAGAAATTTGCTTCTTCATTTGCTGATGAAGTTTCATAGGCTCCTCCAGAGTGAGCCCAAGTCCTCAGACTTTATAAACGAGGCCTCTGCAAATAAATCTGAGGTGCATCAGGGAGTCAGAGACAGCAAGACGATGTTGCAGACCCAGGTCTTCAGCTGTCTGCTCCTCTGGGTCTCTGGTGAGAAAATGGACACTTCCAAATCACTTAGAATGGCATCTTTGCAGAGTTAAAGTTATAGTTTTAAAATGTAATGCAAAATAATATGACTCAAGCATATATTAATGTACTATAACATTTGCAACATTTTAAAGGACTTATTTCATTTATTTAAAATATGAAGCATATGTATATGTGTGACTGTTCAAGGATCATGCATTTTTGATTACAGTTGTCTGCAGTGACATTGTGATGACCCAGTCTCCAAGGACCCTGGCAGTGTCTGCTGGAGAGAGCGCCACCATCCACTGCAAGGCCAGCCAGAATCTTCAGCCTGATAGTAGCAACTACTTAGCCTGGTACCAGCAGAAACCAGGACAGTCTCCCAGACTGCTCATCTACTGGGCATCGATGCGGGCATCTGGGGTCCCAGACCGGTTCAGTGGCAGTGGGTCTGGGACAGATTTCGCTCTCACCATCAACAACCTGCAGGCTGAAGATGTGGCCGATTATTACTGTCAGCAGTATGATAGCTTCCCTCCCACAGTGATTTATTGTCCAACAAAAACTTCCCCTCTGGTCTCCCCAGCTGCTTGTTCCTCACTTGGCCGAAGGCTTGACCACTTCCTCCTGCTGCCTGAGAAATTGTGCTCTGCTCTATGCAAGAGATTTTACAGTCCTAAGCAGAATATAAAAGAGTTGAATGTCTCCTAGATCTTTTGCTGTAGGAAAATAGAACCAAAGTATTCATATTAGTTTTATATTCTGTATAAAAATTTAGAAACACACACCCTTAAATGAGAAAGAAATTCATTACTTTATAGTTTTTTAGGTCAAAATCTAACACTGGATTCAATGAGGGAAGGTCAACCTACTGTCAGGCTGCTGTCCATTTGTGTGCTCTGGGAAGGAATCCGGCTGTTGCCTTCCTGTATCTTGAGTTTCTCACACTCCTTGCTGGTGGCCTCTTCCTTCATCTCCAGAGCCAGCTGCATGCCGTTTCCCTGACACTTGTTCTATGGTGATGTTTCTCTCTGAATATTCTGACCAGCTTTTCAAGTGTGGACAGAAAGAAAACATACGTGTCTGTAATTGCGAATATAATTTTATTCGTGAATATAATATGTGCATTCACCAGCACATATCGTCAAGGCTGCACATCTTGTATTTAATAAAATTGCATGTTTGGTGCTGGGTAACTTTGCATCTCCTTGGAAACCAGGGCGTAAGTGATCCCATGAATGTGTTCACTTTAAATAGGAATTGTACATCTAATTTAGGTCATAGGGGTAAAAGAGGGAGCAAGAGTCTCTTATACCATTTGCAATTATTTGAGACCTTGGAAGCCTCTTCAGGTTGTCTGCATGGAAATGATTTTATGTTTAGGACAGAGTGTTGCTATGCAGTCCCCACTGGACTTGATTTCCCTGGACTGGCCTTGAAGTTCTGGCTCAGCCTCCCAAGTGCTGGGAGTACAGTCTGAAAGGGATATTTCCTAACTCTCTTGGTCTAGGATGCCAGGAACAGTAATAGAGATGCATTGTGCTGCCTATGGAGGCCATGGAGTGGTGTGTCAAGTGAAATACAATATTTCTCTAGCAAGGAGCCTATTGTGAGCACACATGAATCTGAGCACTGGAGGCAGACAATACAAACTGCGGAAGCAACGGAGAATCGCAGCTTGTGTCTTGAATAGGACAAGCTGAGCAGACTGCGATCTTTCACATTAGAGAAAACAGACACAGAGCATCAGAGAATCCTGCATCCTTCACTGCAGAGCTGGTGGCTGTGCAGTTCACCTTTGTTTGGGATGAGGGATGATTTCAGAAAGAGGGCTTCTGGGCTTGCAGGAAGTGTCAGAGATGCTTGATCTTCTCTGTAAGCTGAACATGGCTGTGGATGCAGTGTGCATTTCTGAAAACCTCGTATGAATACCCATGAAATAGGTGGCTGGTACGATATGTAAACTTTATCTCTGTAATCTTAAAAGTAGAAATATTTTTAATAGAGCATAAGCTCTGCCTCTTAGCTGTTTGGAGGAAAATAGAAAAAACACAGAATTCCACTGTCTAAACATGACAGGGTCTTCCTAGTGTAAAAGCAGGACATCATTTCCATCTGAAGTAATTGCTGGGGTAGGTAATATTATAAACATTAACTTACCAGAAAATGTAAACACCAAGGTCGCACTGGTGTGTGGTCTGGGACCTGGGTGGATAACTGCTCTGTAGATAACACAGGACGCAATCTTGGGACCAGCTGGAGAAGTCCCCCAGGGTCCTAGGGTCCTCTTGGGCTTGTGCGCTCTGAAACACTTTGATACTACTTCAGATCAGAATGGGATCATCCTAATGTCATCCAAACACTGCTGTCTATTTGCTGTCTATTATGCATTTTCTAGCAGGTAGATTGCGTCACCTGGACAGCACTCTCCCTGTCACTGGCAGGAGGCCTGACACTGTCTGTAGGAGATGAGCCCAGAGACAGGATTTGGATCTCATACTGAGTTGAACACTATTTTGTGAATGTAGGTGAACTACTTACCTTTTCCCAGCTTTATCTTCTCATCTGAAGCAGAAGAATAACAAGGGCTTTTATGACGTTTTGTGAAGGGTAAGTAAATATACAAGAATCACTGAGGAGGGCACCTGGGCACGCCGTGAGTGCGCAGTAAGTCCTGAGCATTGCTTGTTAGATCCACCTGCGTGCGAAACATACTAATAGGTGGTGGGTTGATTCTGCTTCTGACAGCAACCAGAGTAACATGTAGAAAGAAAATAACCAAAATGGAAAAATCAATCAATTCCTCCTTGCTGCCAACCTTCAAAACTCTCCTGGTTCTTGAAACTAATTGTTGTGTCTTAGCTTCCATCAGTGGTTCATGTTCATGACTGTTGTGTTTGCACTCTTGTGGGGAACTTTACAGATTCCTGCTGTCTAGATCTGAATTGATAGAGGTTGGAGGAGATCAGTCTGAATGCAATGGATGTGGGCTGGCCTGGCCCGGCCTGGTCCTCTCATCTGTTCTATTTTGTTTTCGTTTCTCTCTTCCCCATCCCCATCCCTTATTTCCTCTTTCTCTCCCCTCTTTCCTCTACCTCCTCTTCTCTTCTTTCCTTTCCCTTCCACTCTGCAGCTTCAGATCGACCCCGGGCCTTCACATGCCCACACAGCACTGTAGCACTGCACTGCGCTTGCAGCTCCAGAACTGAGATTTACCTGGGCTCTGCAGATGGCCCCAGTGTGTTCAGCCCTGACCTCTCCCAACTGCCCAACTATACTCCTTACCAGGTCTCTTGTTCTTTCTCCCTTGTGCCTGCCACCTGGGTTGCCTTTCTGTCTCAGACGCACGCCATTGAGTTCTTCTTCCCCTTGGGGCCTCTGGCTCCTCACTGCTCATCCTCCTCCCATGAAGCCTTCCAAGTCACACCAAAGTTCCATGCTTATCGGGATTCTGGCTCTTACGAGTCTGGGTGCTCTGTCTCTTAGGAATGTGGGCTTCGGAGTGGAGAACCTTGACCATGAGAGCCTCTCACCCTGCCGCAGTTAGAAGCCCCGTACTTTCACGTATGCATTTTACTTTTCACACTGCTTGTCTCCTCTTCACAATGAAGACCAAATCTTTGGTACCTAACACTCGCCCATGACCTCAGAGTCCCCAATACCACAGGTAGTTTTGGAGGAGGGACATAAGACAAGTGAGTTGAGTGTGAAATTTTGTTGCATAAATGTTGTTAATTCAGGCAAAAAAAAATTAACAAAGAATTTTAAAAAGTAAAATTAATCTGAAAACTGCTTCATTTTGACAAAAATCAGAATTTTAAGTAATGGCAGGACATCCAATGAACAGAGAAATGTCAGCAGGAAATGTGTTAATGTGTGGCAATATTCTGTTTAAAGTATTACTTATTCTATGTATTTGTTGGGGCCACAGTTTTCTCTCCAGTGGAATGAATGGGCCCACTGACACTAGTGTCCTAAGGTTGTAACGTAAACACGTCAGGGCCCAACTGTGAGGCGGTTGCAGTGTGTAGAAGGACTTGAGGGCATCCATGGGTGAGGGTGGCCCGGTGCACAGTGGGTCCCAGCGGGGACAGGAGCCAGGGGTTCAGCCTGATGGCCCAGCACATGGCCTGGCATAGTGGTGCTCTAGGTGAGCCCAGCTGACTGACTTCGCCTTGAGGAAGGGCTGTCCTTGCCTATGACTGTTCCTCATGAGATGGGAAATAGTTGAGGAAGTAGAATATCTCCTTGACTCTTTTTAAAGAAATCCATTAAATTCCTTTTGTGAATTAATGCAGATCAGCAGAATAGAATAATGAAATTACATATGTATATATACACAAACACTATATATATTCAAATATATATATATGAAATGAAAATAATCATTTTCATATATATATTTGATTATTTTCATTCTAAATAATCACATCCCTGCCCCCCCATTCTATTTCTTATCTGTATAAATCTACCTTTGAGCATCTGTTTTTACTCCCTTTCTGGTGGGTTAGATTATCCATGCAAAAAGGAACAGAATAAAAACTTTTTGAGTCATATATTTTCTTTGATGAGACATTCTCTAGGTCCATACCTTTCCTGTAAATGACATAATGCCATTTTACTTTGAGGCTGAATAATACTCCATTGTCTACAAACACATTATCTTCTCTATTAATTTGGTGTTGGGTAACTAGGCTGTTTTTGCCATGTGCTGGGTAATAAATTGTCAACTTTAGTGGGAATACTCCCAGATTTCAGTCAGTGTGGTGGTCAGAATGGCATAAAGGAGAACTACAGGGAAGGCTTTCCATGGATCTTCCTTGGGGTAACTTCATGGCAGCTGACTTTCCTGCAGTCTCTGAGGATGCCTGCAGCTCTCTCTGGAAGAGATTTAGTACTGGATTTTTCCTTGAGAATTGTTTTCTGGCTTCCATTACAGATTCTTTGGCTCCCAGCACCAGTCTCTGGCCTGCCCTTTGGTTATCATCCTAAAACGATAAAGGAGCAGTGTGAGATCAGGTACAAACTCCTTGAGCCATTTGGTAATTGTCCCTTTTCTGTATATATCAGGCTAAATGATTTTCATCATTTTTCTTTGTGTACAAAAACACTGAATTTGGAATGGGCCCCAGATTAACAGCTCGAAGGGAGCCCATTAGGCTCATCCACACCCTCCCCATCTGTGTGTAAAGTCATCACCAGAGAACATGGGTCCTGGTTCCCTCTGGAATCCTCCCACCCCCGCAGACCCACCCTCCCCTGTCCATGCTGCAGGCCCAGCCCGTCCCCCTCTCTCTGTGCTCTGAGCTCATCTGGGCAGCAGGGCACCCAAAGCTCCCCCCCAACCCCCCTCAGCTCCCTCTGCCCTCACCAGGGAGGCAGAGCAGCAGCAGCCCCAGGAGCTGAGCAGGGAGCCTCATTGTGAGCAGCTGAGCTGAGGTTTTCTGATCACTCAGGGTGAGGCCAGAGCCCAGCTTTTATCTCTGACCTGCAGGCCAGCTCCTCTCTGAGGAGCCAAATGCAAATAGCTGGTGGGTGCAGTCCTGTGTAGAGCGAGAGAGAAGAGGGCCTGGGGAGGCCTCTCCTGGGAGCTGGTGGGGGAAATATCCTCTGTATTTGGAGGGAAGTGATGGAGATAATGTCTGAGTTGTGTTCAGCAGTGGGAAGGTGGACCCCACTGTGAAAATCTTCAACTGCCATAGGAGGGGCCA